GCCTCGACTGCTCCTCACAAGGATCAGGCCACAAAGAGTCACAGCAACTCCTTTCAAGGACATTTGAAGCCCCCGAAGAAGGGATCTCCTGTGGTAAGGGGGGACCTGACGTAAAAATCTACTTGAAAATAAGCTGATGCATTCCTGCTGGGGATAACTTAAAATATCTTTCAAAAGGAGGGAGAATCATATACCCATCCATATCTATCAGCTACTTAGCACGTGCCAAGGAACCCAACTCCTCTGATATCTGAAGCTATGTGTTCACTGCAAAAGTTGGTAGAGAGATTCAATATACTATATCGCAGACTGTCCCACTAGCAGACATTTGTTTGACAGGAATTCTCTTAGACATGATTGGTCAATAGAAGAGCGTCACCAGCAGGATGAGAATGTTGTGTTGGTTCAGATGCTGCTTCTCTTAGCTTGGTAGTATTGAAGCAACCATAGGCAAGCACTCCCACAAGATAAACTCAGCAGTGTAAGAAGACCTTGCACCAAAGCTCGAAAGGTGTTCAGGAGACCTCCCATGGCAGCAGAGGCTATGTTAAGGGCCCAAGAACCTGGTGCTTTAGATACACGCGTGATATATCTAATGGTGCTCCCAGTGCCATTAACCTACTGGGTAAACCTGGGAACAGGGGAAGAAGCTATAAAAATGGTTCTCCCTACGCTGAGGCATGAAGGAATCTATGCCCCAGACCAGATTTAACTTTTATGAAACTGGCCTTTATGATCTACAGAGACAAGGAAATGAAAACTCAATTTGAACCCTGTAAAAAATGGAGTGACTTCCAAAAGGCAAACCACCAGCCAGTGGAATTGAACCAAGCTGTCTTTTTATTAGGTTTGTTTCTGTGTTTTGTTAGCATGTTAATTACAAGTTCTACAGGTTTTCAGTAGTCTGCTTCGACGCCGTTTTCTCCACAAGCTCCATTATTTTTAGTGCATCTGCTGTAGGCTGCCGGAGTGGAGGTGCCTGGGTTCATCGTGGTCACAGTCACTTTCAGTTGTTTTCAACACAACTACAATTCTTTTATTATTTTTATTTTATATGGAATGAAATGAAAGCATTTTATGGCATGTTATACAAAGACACAATCACACTGCATCTAAAGCTCTATGGATAGAGAGGGCAAGATGCGTATCAACCTCCAAAGATAAAGACCTACCACACATCTGAAAGAAAGCTGTGTCCTTTAAAGACCCTGAACGTGGACAGCGAAGGGACTGCCAGGTCCCCCTCAGGAAGTGTGACCTTGCCACTACATATTTCCTCTGCAGACACACAGAACCCTCTTTGGACATTTCTACCAACAAAGAGGAGACCCTTCTCCGCGATTTCAGCTCATCACAGGGAGAGGGATCAGATAAGCCAGCAGCAAGGAAAGCCCAAAGCCGAGCGGCTGGGGCCCAGGGCCTTTGCCTCTTTCCAATAGAAAACACTTGACCTCTCCGGTAACGACTAGATGCACTTACTCCCAAAGACAGAGAGCTGAGCTATGCTACACGTGGTTTTATCAACTCTAGTTTGACCTGCAGCTAAAGGAAAAGGAAAAGAGGGTAACACTCCTTAGAAAAATAACAAAGGTTCCCCCAGAGTATTTTACATAAGACAGTATTTTACTGAAGACAGTTTTTTGTTCAATGATTCAGTCAATGACTAACTGAACATGCAAGGAACTCAGGATCCACAGAAGAGAAGCCAACACAAGTGAGTTTCTTATTCCCTGATGATGTCTTCCTGATACCCAGACTGCTTCATAAATGACTGACCAAAATCCCCACATTGCAACTCTAATGTCTACTGGCACCAGATTAATAAAGGGCCAAAGCAGAATAGGTCTGTGGTGGTAGAGAACCTTGAGGACATTGACAAAGTAAGTAGACACCCACAAATCTTTTTTGTTTTTTATCCACCACTGAGGACAAGCATGTGTGCACACACACGTGCACACACACACTAGGCGTGGGCCTACCCTTGGCTCAGGGGCCATCACTGTGACCCTATGTTCCACATTAGACCACTAGGAAAGGAATTTCATTATATCCAGGCAAGTAGGTGACATCGATCAGTATTTCAAATCGCCTTCATATAGGCAATGGCTACAACACATCAGAAGAGATCGAGAGCTCTTCTGTAGGCGAAACAAAGCAGAACACTCTGAGGTGCAAAACTCTGGACCTGAACTTGGCTCTGTATTGCTTCACTAGGACTAGAGAGCGCCATCACAGCCACAAAATTCCCGTTTTTCTGATGCCTTTAAAACCAGCACCTATTTCTTTCAAAACGCTACCTGGAGAAGGTTTACTCCTTACAATCGAATTGTCTGAAACACCAAAGAGAAGTTAAACAATCTCTACAATCCAAATCATTATCTTCACCATAAAGGGTCAAAGGTAATGTCAGCAGACAGACAAGTGAAATAAAGCAACTGTAAATAATCATTCTTAGCCCGCTCAGAATGTAGTACGCTGGTTAAAAGTCACGAGAAGCCATTTGATGGACACAAGGGTATTTAACTCGGGTCATACTTAGGAACTTAGAACTTAGCTCTCTTTCCTTCTTTTTTCTTTCAAGGTCAGTCATTGCACTGAATATTCCAAGAATTTTTCTTAAATCAACATCCTATTTTTTATGCCTACAACAATTTACAGTTAGACATCTCTGTGCTAATGCACACTTAGCACTTCTGAGTTGTTTTTTAAGGTAAAATTTGAACAACAAATAAAATTTCTCAGGGTATGTTATACAATGTGGACCCAAGCTATAAAAATGTGACGGTGGTTATATTCTCATAATGCAATTTGGCCCTTTTAGTAATGATTATGCAAATAGCCATAGGAAAACCATTCTACATCCAATACAATTACCTACTATTACAGAAGTAATTATTATTATTGTCCTGCTTATTGAACTTCACTAAGAACTCTTGAGGTGCTAAGATATTTCAAGGCCGCTGTAAAAACCTCCCATATCCCACTGGCCCGGCAACCATAATTACCAATGTTAAGCAGGGCAGTTTGACATGAACATTAAACAAGAAATTATCCCTGGAAGGTGCATAAGTCCCAAACTTTAAATGAGGATGTACTAAGGGCTCCTAGAATGGCCTCTTAATGTCTTCAGGATGTCACTTGTCACCCAGGCAAGGCAAGACGTCTAAGATGACTCAAATTGCAATGGAAAATTCCACGATCCCAACAAGACCAGTTTCTCCCCCAAGCAACAACTACTTTGGGCCGACCTGTCACGAGTCTTGGTTATACTTCAGGAAACATGAACATTCCATTTTGCTGTGTTTTGACTTTTGATTTCAGAAACTGCTCTGCCACCTTGAAAGAGACCAAGGCACTGAGTGGTCCCTTTGGCTGGGCTTCGGCCCACGTTCTTCAAGTCCCTAACCAACTTCATCTACTTTGTCAGCAGCATAGGGTGAAGAAAAGGCCACAGAACCAACCGAGGGGACAACAATTTGTGTCATTCGTTAAAGACGCACTAAAAAGGCCACCTGAGCCTGCCTGCTAGGGGATGGCTCATGACTGCACCTCAGGGAACCCAGAATGCCCCCAAAGCCCTGGCCACACACGAGGTCAGGCGCGACCTTGCATATTTTTCCCTCCCTCTCAATCTGGAAAGACGCTGGCTGGCCATGAGGGTCCAGAGGAGAAGTTCACTGTGGGTCACCCCTACCATCTCTTAACCCCAAAAGCTAACTCTACCCCAATCGGTTTTCATCCCAATTCCCAAAGCCTTGCGCACAGAGCCAGGGCTAACCGATCTGTACTGGGCGAGCCCAGGGCAGGCTAACGTCTAAGGTGTTTTCTGGACAATCAGCAGGGCCTCTGGGTGAAGACGGCCCGCTCTTGGCTTCTTGATCAGGAACCTTCTCTTGGGCACCAACATCTCTTTAAGCGCATTCGCCCAGACAGCAGTGATGGTTCTGGTTCTGGTTCTGTCCACTCCGTCCCGACCCAAAGGAGGAACAGCAGCGCTCTGGGGTCATCTAAGCCCTACTTCCCCAGAGGTCGTGGGCATTTCTCCATTGTCTCAAAGACGCCAGACTAATGTCTTCCTTCACCACTTTTGAAACCCTCCTTTCAAAATGCCCAGTGCCGGCCACTACCTGCGGGGACCCGCGGCCAGGTAGGCGCAGCGGGTGGCGGCAGGGCCGCGAGCCCGCTCACTCCCATCGCGGTGCTCTGGCAACGTGCTCCCACCCACCTCCGACTTCCATGTTCTCCTCCCCGCCACCCGGGGCCCTCCGCAGCGCCCCCTCCCGCGCCCGGCGAGCACGACACCCGCAAGGACCGCCCCCACGCCCCAGCCCGGAGGGCTCGCGAGCCGCGGGGGGTCAGCAGGTGGGGGGAGGGGCCGCGGCCCCCCGGGGGGCGACTTGGCGGGGGGCGCCTCCCAACCCCCCACCGGGCACCCCCTCGGCCCCGCACCCCCAGGACCTCGCCGCGCCCCTGCCGGGCTCCGCTGCCCCCGGCCGCCCCCTCCCGGTCTCCGGCGCCCCCAGCCCGGCCCGGGCCGCACACCCCCGGCCCGCACCCCGCCGCCGCGCCGCGGCCCCCCGCATTCCCGGCACGTCCGGCGCCGACTTTTACCTGTACTTTCCGTACTTGGGGCGGCTCGTCGGGCGAGAGCCACCTCCCCGGGACCGCTACCTCCCCCGCCCGGCTCCGCCCGGCTTCCTCCTTCCCCTCCAAGGCCGCAAAGTAGATGGAGTAAGAGAGTGTGTGTGCGAGAGAAAGAGAAAGAGGGAGCGGGCGCGGGCGCCGCGGGAGGAGCAGGAGCAGGAGGAGGAGGAGGAGGAGGAGGAGGCGCGCCGGCGCCCGCCACCCTCGGTCCCCGCCGCCGCCGCCGCCGCCGCCGCCGCGGGCTCGGAACTCCGCGCGCGCCCGGCCCGGCCCGGCCCGGCCCGGTCCGGCCCGGTTCCCGCCGCCGCCACCGCCGCCCGCGGGCTGGGGCCGGCCCGCACCCCGCGTCCCCGTACCTCGTAAAGGTCCCCAGAAGCCATGCCAGGCTGCGGAACTTGGCTCGCCGGGTGTGCGCGTCTGCTCGCTCGCGCCCTCCGTGCGTGTGCGCGCGGGGCCGGGGTGCGCGTGTGTGTGCGCGCGTGTGTGTGCGCGTGTGTGCGGTGTGTTGAGTAAACTGTGTTTTTGCAGAATGACAGGCTTGGGGGCTGCCTATGCGCAGAATCAGAGCGGGCGGCGGCGGCGGCGGCGGCGGGGCTGGCGTGACGGCGGCGGCGGCGGCGAAGGCGGCACGAGCGCGGGCAGCAGCGACGGCCGCGCCGCGCGCCCGGGAGCACGGACGCGGCCCGAGCGCCGCGGGCCCCGCGACCCGGCGACCCGGCGGCGGTGGCTGCGGCCGGCCACGGCTCGCCCCGGCGCCGCCTGCAGGAAGCCGCCCCGCGCCCGCCGCCGGCCGGGACGCCGCTACCACTGGCGAGTCCCCGCCCCCGGGAGCCCGGCCCGGCCCCCGGCGGGAGGGGGGGACGGGGGCGGCCCCGGCCGCGCCCGAGGGGACCGGTCCCCGGCCGAGTCGCGCCGCGCCGGCCCCGCCGCCTCGGCCCGGCCCTGGGGGTGGCCGGCAGGCCCCGGGGGTGGCGGGCCAGGTGCCCGAGGGCGGGCCGGCCCGGCCCGGGACCGCGGCGAAGGGGCGGCGGGGGAAGCAGGTAGAGGCAGCGGGAGGAGCAGGTCCCCCGGCCCCGCTGCTCGGGTCTGGTACCCACCCTTCGCTTGGGGAGACCCAGCCCCTCGGGGCTGCGCGGCCCCTGCCCCTCCGTGCGGGTGAGCAGAAAGTGGAGGCACTGGGAAGAGGAATGAAAGGACCCATCCGGAGGCTCCCGAAGAGCCAGCCAAGACGGCGTGGCCTCCCCACGAACCCCGCGAAGTCTTTAGGGCCAGGCGCGGCCTTCCCTAAACCAGCCTTCTGCCCCAGGATCCTTTCACTTATCCGTTAGTCAACAAACATTTCGCAAAGTCCACCCAAATGCGCGAGGGCCCTGTACAAGCACCCCGCTGACCCTGCCAACACTAGACTTTGGATCACTGAGGGGCGACAAGCCAAGGGCATTCAAGGCGTGGAAGAGTGCAAGGGCGCGTTCAACAGGCCGCCACGAGGAGAGAGTTCCTACTGTGTGCAGGCTCCGGGGCTGCAGGGACTAGAGAAGGGCTCTCTACCCTGGAAACTGTTCTTAAGACATCTCTCTAGACTCTTGTCACGGATAAAAAGTCACCCTTGAGCTTACAGGCTCCTCATTACATAAATGTAAACATAAATATATATATTTAAGTATTTATGTATTTGTTTATTTAAGTGTTTGTGTGTGTGAATTTATCACTGGATCTTTGTGGTCAGGCTATTTGGAAACCGGAGGCCCAGTCTTCCTCACCCCAGGCCCTCACCAAAATGCCCAGCTACTCACTCTCTCAAGATGTATGCGAGTAATTCACGTCCCTGGGTTGTTTCTGAAGGGTGAAGCCATGGCCAGATGACCTGCTGTTCCCTACGTCCTGGGTGATGTGGAACTGGAGGAGCCCTATATACGTGATGCGGCCTGGCCACCCCCATGGAACTCAATAAAGGTAGTTTCTGTCTGAATGAAACTCCAAACAGCCCTCCTAGAGAGCTCGAGGAATGGTTTAATAGACTGACAAACTTTTTTTTTTTTTAATTTTATTTAAGGAGAAAAGAAAAAAAAAGCAGAGAAAGGGTACAAGTTATATAGATTTACAGAAAAAAATGAACAGTAGGAAATCACTAGTTAATGGATTACATATTGCCATCTTAGAAATAATTGTTCAAGTCACAAAATTAAAGCTTGTAAAGTGGACATTCCATCAATGATACTGCAAACAGTTCTGTTCATTGATCCAATAAAACTCTGTGATATCATTTTCTATCTTATACACTTAAATATACATGCAGTTATATAGTTTGGAGCACTTTCTTTTCCTCTCTTTTGTACCATGACTATTTAGACTGACAAACTTTTAAAAGTCACCAAATTGGTTTAGAAACTGGAAATTGTTGTAGGCATTCCCATTCCTTTCCCTATCGGCATTTTTTAATGGTCATGGTTTTAAATAATAATAAGCACTTCTGTATCTGTAGGTAGCCAAACAAATTTTAATGATCCTTAATTTGTTCTTGGAAATAAATGCACTATCGTGGCATGAGGAAGTAATTTGGAATTAGAAGACGAGAAAGAAACTGGGTTTCTTTGGAAATAATATGCTCAGCCAAATTTGAATGTGTAATCAGTAGTTTAGAGAACACACCAAAACTTGACTTGTGCTGGGCAGAGATTCCCTGCGAGTGTGAGAATCTGAAAAACCAGTCTAGACAAAGTTGTTTGCAGCATCCCCTGAAGGGTCTATTCGGCGTGGGGTGTGGACTTGGATGCCCGGGGAATATTTCACGGAGGAGATAGACAGAAGGGACTCTGACAGATTCAGAGAAGGGGGTCAGCGGTGCAGTTTGGGGACAGAAGCAGGGGAAGATGGACTGAGAAGACTGAAAACGGTTTTGTGGCGGTCACAGGACCTCGCGTGGCAAATGCAGGTCAACTCGTGGAGCTTCTTGAACGCGAAGCTCAGAAGTCTGACTTAGATCAGCAATGGAAAAAATGGATCAATCAAACTTTAGAAGACAGCGAAGTCTGAAGAAATGTGAGAAATCCCCCACTGCGAGGTTTTAGAGAGGGGGAGACCATCACAGTGGTCCCTGGGAGTAGCAGGAAAAATGAAGAAGTCAAACTGGAACTGTGAGATGTTCAAGAGGAAAGGAGCTCGCTTACCCCACCTACTTCCATGAAGCATTTGATCCAGATCAACAGGACTCGATGACTAACAGGATGTCTGTTTGTCGGGCCCTGGGGGAGGGGCAGGCAAGTAAGGAAAGAAAGGATACACAGATGACTAAGGCCTGAAACCCAGCGACTGAGCCACCCACCCATCGCCACACTATTTTATTTGGAGTTTACCCCTAGACCACCACTGGCTTCCAGGAAAGGCGTGCGTTTCCTGAGAAGGGGTGAGGAGTGGGCCTTTGCCATCGTAGGAACCAATCAGTGGACAGCTCGGCTCCAGGTCCGCAGCGAGGGTGAGCTGGGATTGGTCTGGGAGACATCTTCCACAAGACTCTCCACACCAATCACAGCTCAAGGGCAAGTGATACAGAACTTCACTCATCCTATCTTTCAAGTTACTCGGTTTTGTAGGTGGAGGAAAGACAGAATTCCCCTCGTGATTGGCTTGCTTCAAGATCTCATAGAATATAAAGACAGCCTCACTCACTACTTCCCTACGTTCGCTGGCCTTGAACTGCTGAAGCTAGGCTTCCTCCCTCCAGCTGAGAACCCAGCACCTCGTCTGGCCCCTCAACCAGGCTGATGCCTCAACAGGACCTACACCTCCCAGGGAAGGGCTCCGATTGGCTCACGTGCTCCGATTTTGATCCAATCACTGTAGTCAGTCACTGATAACACATTACAACTGGCCAGGCTTAAGCCACACAACCACCTGTGGGGATGGAGAATAGGAAGATTGGCAGTTTTACCAGTTACATCACTGGAAGTGGGGTTGCACAGAGGTTCATAGGAATGGCAGAAGGATTATGGCAGAGACAAATGTCTGTTGTAGGCTAAAACAAACTGGGATAGAACAGGACTTAGAAGCAAAGGAAGTAGCTGCTTGGGGTGGCCTTACTCTAGCGAGACCAGCCAGAGTACTATCCAGGGGCAGGTGGTACCCACTGCCCTGACAGAGATGGCAGAGCAAGGCACCGAGACTTAACCTTGACCCTCTGTGTTGTGCAGTGGTTGAACATACGGGCTGTAGCTCTGCCTCGACTGGGTTCTGATTCCTGCATCATCAGCACTAATTGTACGGTCTAAGGCTATTTACTCTCCCTCCCTGTCCTTCCATTTCCAGATGCACTGGTTACATGTTATGATGTGATACATTATCCCCAAAACTTGGTGGCTTCAAACAAGAGTCTAATCTCAGTGACTATAGATTGGGGAGCAGCAGTCATGGGAAGTTCTGGCTCAGGGTCTCTCGTCAGAGTGGAGTGTCCACTAGGTCTCAAGTATCAGAGAGCTTGACCAGACTAGGGATCCACCTCCAAGATGCCTCTCAAGGTAAGAGACCTCAGCTCTTAGCCACACAGGTCTCTCCCTCGGCTGTGAGTGTTCTCACACCATTCTCATCCCCCCCCCTCCCAACTTCAACATCCCAACATCCAACACAGCAGCAAAGCATCAGCTTGTTCCAGCAGGCAGCAGCTGATCTGATGTCCTTACAAGACTGATGCAGAGTTGTTTGGCAGCATGTTGGTTTGAGCAGCTTGGGACACCATCTAGGTAGATCCCTCATTTTAAATATGAGAAAACTGAGACCCACTTGGGTAAGCCAGGAGAGAGCAGTGGGGAAGTCACGGTGTCTTTGAAGATCTCATCTTGGGTGCCAAACTCTGTCGCTGCCAACATATTCTAGCCTTAAATGAGCTACTAAGCTAAGCTTACCTCAAGAGGAGGCAAATTAGGCTCTGTATTGCTTTTCTGTCATTGCCGAGACAAAATACCTGACATGCAAAGTCAGGAAAGGTTTCTGTGGCTCACAGTTTGTAGAGGTTTCAGTCCATATTCAGCTGGCACCCAGGCAGAGTGGCATAAAGCAGACAAATATTGCAGAGGAGAAACAGTTCATGGTGGGCAGAAGGTAGCAAAGCAAGCGATGGACAAGACAAGCCTCTTTCTGTCCTTTATAGTGTATCCAGGCTACCAGGATTAGAATAGCACCGAATCAGTCTGAACTGATTTAGTAATAATCACCCACTCTTAATCCTAGCACCCCTAACTCTAGCATTGTATCATGAATCAGTCACACATGATACTTAGCCACCTCTGAAAAAACCCACCTCGGACTGCATGAGGCTTTGGGGGGACATCTAGACACAAGCCAAAACATACCACTGTTTCAAGGGAGACCTATCAAATAATTTACAGATTTTAAAATCACCACACCCCACCTACAAATTGAGGCGATCAAAGCTCCGTAGGGATGTCTTGAGAATTAAGTGAGACAATCCTCACAGAACACCTCTCACGGATAAAGGCTGGATAGTGATACCTGTTATAATAACTACAACAACCGTTACTGCTTTCAAACTTGAGAGGTCTCATTAATATCCTTTGACTGTCCAAGGGTTCTATAGAAAGGCAGTAAACCCAATAAAACCTTTCAAGTGAATATCTCTTTCAGGTTGTGAAGAAATTCTAGTCGTTAAACTTTATTTTCATCATAATTTTAAAGTATTTTACTTCCACAATAAAACAACAATTGAAGTGAAGTCATATTTATTCATTATCTGAAATATGCCCGGTGT